ATATATATATATATATATGCTGGGGCAATCATCTGCTTAAAAAATTAAAAAGAAAAAAAATGCTAGATAGCTAATGCTATGTGAGCATTCAGAGAGCAAAAGTTTAGAGCTATTTTTAAACTAAAATAGACAGCTAGAAACTTCTGATATGCTATTGATTATGTTCATCTTTAATACCATTAGAAGTATTTAGCTATTTAAAGCCAATAACTTTGTCATAGTACAACTTATTTGGGGGTCAAGAAACATTCATCCTTTTAAAAAGTAATTTTAATGTGCATGGATTTTTATGCAAGGTAATACTTAGAAAGTTTATCTTAGACAGCTCTGCACTAATTGGATACTAAGCACACAGCTACTCACTTTTAAAATGCAATACCAATTCCCCCAATATGCCTATTTGAATGGAAATGTAGTGAGAGTAAAGTGAGACCATGACAACCCAACTGAGGTAGTTTCTTAAAAGAAAGAGGGTCTACAAAAAGCCTTCCTTGCATAATTTTTGTCCTGGCCCTCAAAGCCCTGTTTGCAAAAGAAAGTTACTAGGCTGACACATTTTTTTTTTTTCTCCTTTGGTTCAGGCAAATGTCAGCGTTCTTCCAAACTCTTTTCACACCTCTGGCTCTAAGGAGATGAAAGTGGCAATTCCTCTTTTCTTTGAAAATCATTTCACTCTGGACGCCTTCAAATCTTGAGGGGGAAAACACTTGCCTGGAATGAACCAATGAGAAAAACCTAAGTAGCTAAATTTTGCACACAAAAATAACGACAATCAATCTGAAAGTAGAGTTTCTAGAGGAGGAAGATGGTAGGTTGCATGTGCATTTGCTACTGAATTTGCTTTAAACCTGATGAGTACCATTTGCCCTATTAACTTCTAGTCTGGGAGAAAGTTCTTAAGACTAGAGAGAATAGAATAACTAACTGCTCCAACAACAGATTTTCTTTACTATCGGGGTGGAAATTGCCCAATTCTAAGCTCAGCTGTAAGGTATAAGAAAAACTACCCTTCTCCGAGTTTCACTTCTAAGGGGGCCAGTTAGTTTTGTATAATTTAGCAGAGTTTGTCTTGGAAAGCAGAGGAAATGCAGTGTCTTGCAGGACTGCCTACCCTCTTGCTGGCAGGGAAATAAAATAAGCCTGCCTGAATTCACGTGCTTGGTGTAGCTGTTCCCATCCTAACTTTTTTTTTTTTTAAATTCCCCCTGATGAGAAGGGGCTGTGAAAGTAGGCGGGTTCGCTGCACTGTCCTGGCACGTTTTATTATTGTGATTTTGAGTTTCCTCCTATGGAGACGTGAATGTTTTACCTTCCACCCTCCGGGAGAATGCCTCCCTTTCTTTCCTTCCTTTCTTGCTAAAGGATTCTGAATTTCTGAATTAGTTGATAGGGGCACAAGTTAGGGCAAGACCATTCATCCTAGCCGGGTTTCACTGAGAATCCTAGAATTTTTACTTTAAAAAATATTTTTAGATTAAAAAAATCTCAGCTTTAGAGATGCAAGGCCACTGAATTGGAGGTTGAAGGATCCAGCTGGACTGACATTATATAAGTTCCCTGCCCTGCCGGTCCCCCCTTTGCCCGCCTGGCCTTCTGAACCTTGTTTCTCTCCTGTTTGTCATGCAGTACGACGATCTACCCCATTACGGGGGCATGGATGGAGTAGGCATCCCCTCCACGATGTATGGGGACCCGCATGCGGCTAGATCCATGCAGCCGGTCCACCACCTGAACCATGGGCCTCCTCTGCACTCTCATCAGTACCCGCACACAGCTCACACCAACGCCATGGCCCCCAGCATGGGTTCCTCCGTCAATGACGCTTTAAAGAGAGATAAAGATGCCATTTATGGGTAGGTACCATGGGCAGCAGGTTAAACAGCCGAGACGCGGTGCTAATCCTGTTTCCCTTTGCCTTTGGTAAGGGGAAAGCCAGAGTACTCTGGACTGGAGATGCAGTACTTGGTGACTTTTCATTCGCATTGCATGGAGAATCTGGGGGTGGGGGTGGGCTGCCTGCCATCCCTGACGCCCCCCCTCTCCATGCGCGCTCCGCCGCTGCCCAGCCTCTGGCTCTGCCCAGGCTGTGCCTGGGAAGGGGGTCGCCGAGCAGGAGAAATTGCCCAAAGGTCCCTCTTCCTCTCTCCGAGGGTAGGTGTCCCGGCTGGAAGCAGTGTTCCGGGAAAGCGTTGGGGGTTTCTCGCTGCAGGCGCCTTTGTGTTGGAAGGAAACTTTTAGTTTCAGGGAAAATCTTTTAAGCCACTGATTGTTCGGACTTGCTAAGTTTACTCAGCAGCCCTAGGCTGGCTCTGCCACCGCACCATAAAACGCAGGGAGGACAGTTGCAAGTCAGGCAAGGGGGACACGCTTTGCATTTGGAAAGTTTGACCACGGTCGTCACCGTATCAAGGTAGTCAAGGAGAGGAGCTCGGTCTGAATTGTTACAGACATGGAGAAACTTCTGGTCGTTTTAATACTTTGTGAGCCAAGATGAAACCTGCAGGCTTTAGAAGTAGATGCGGGGTGCTATGGGCCGTGTTGTTTTCTGACTGCCGTTCCCACCGTTTTCTCCCGGCCGTTCCATCGACCCTGGACTGGGAAAATCCTTTGAAAGAGCCTTGTGCCTACTGTGTGCCGGTGAATCTGGGGACCCCTTTTGACTTTGCAGCAACTTTTGTTTCTTCTATTTAAAAAAAAAAAAAAAGAATCATGCAACACTGACCCTCCCCGGCCGCACACCCTTTCTGCTTTATTTTTCTGGTCCCTCGTGCGATGGGCTTGTTTAAATCCCAGCGTTCTCTCCGCAGCCTGGACTGCAAATGGTTGTAGGCTCTGGGACAGAACATTTGGGGAAGCTTTGAAAAGGACCCCGCACTGTTAAATTCCCAGCTGGGCTGTGAGAGCTCATAAAAGCCCGGAGACACCTCCTTGGGCATTAGAAGAAGCTTTTTTTCTTTCCTTTATGGGCTGAGATAAGCGACATCTAGGCCCCTCGCCGCACTAGCTGCCTTGCCATTCCGCTGAGACAAAATGAAAGGCTTTCTGGCTTTCCGGCAGGACCACGGGCAGGAACTTTCTTCTGGGGGTGGTGGGGGGCGATCGGCGAAGGCAGGGACAATGTGCACGGAGCCGAGTAGGCGCCTCCTTGCTCTCCGAGGGCCCTGGGGTGGGGATCGGCTGGGGCAGCCCCCTGACAGCCGGTCCCGCAGCCTTGGAGGTCCTTTCCCCAAGTTAGCTGAGCGCCTGCCACCGAGAGCCCGACCCTGGGCTTCGCGAGGCCGCCTCGGAGGAGCCCCCTGGAAGCGGCTCTCCCAGCCCCCGTGCCCAGCGCCTTTCTCCGGCTCCAGGTCCTGGATGTGCCGCCGAGGGCCGAGGGCTTGTCGGGTGGGAAACTTCATTCAAAATGGCTGCTGGAACCGCTTGGGTTTTATCCTTAGCAAATGTTACCAATTTCTCCGGCCAGATAAGCTGAACCGATCCTCAGATACGGTCCGTGGCCTAGGGCCTCCAACTTCGGGGCCCTGAGAGGAAAGGGAGGTGAGCAGTCACCTGGGTGGGGGGGAGGGGGGAGGAAGAAAGTAGATGACAAAACCCGGGAGGGGGTCCCTGCCTCCAGCTCCTCCGGCTGCTTTTCTAGGGCGCCCTTTCCCCCGGCCCCCGGACTCGGGACTAACCATTGTGTTGTTTGTGACTGTTGTATTTTCTTGCAGACACCCCCTCTTCCCTCTCTTAGCACTGATTTTTGAGAAATGTGAATTAGCTACTTGTACCCCCCGAGAGCCAGGGGTGGCGGGCGGGGACGTCTGCTCCTCAGAGTCATTCAATGAAGATATAGCCGTGTTCGCCAAACAGGTCAGCAAAATAAATGTTTAAAAAGTAAAAGGGGGGGAAAGGGGCCCTCCCTCCCGCCCCCCCCCCCCAGCACATTTGCCAGAGTCATTAACAACTAGTCCACCCTGGGCCATGCCTGTTACAGCTACCCTGAGATTTCCCTCCGGTGTAAGTGTCCGCGGGGGGGACTCAAAATCGCCCATATCCATCCCAACTCAAGCTCCAGAACCTCATGTAGAAAACTCTCTTTATAAAAATAAAATCGCCAGCACCATGCGCTGCAGCTGCCTGGGGCTTGGTGAGCTGAGCAGCCTCCTTTAGAGGCGTCGCTGCTGGTAGAAGTCACCCAGAGCTGGGGGGCTTGTTTTCGGCCCGAGCCTCACTGAAGTGTGTTTGCGCGGGAGGAACTCGGTGTCACCCAGGCTACGTCCTGGCCCCAACAGTGTAATGAGTCCAGAAAGTAGGAAGGCGAACAGATTTCAATTTTTTTCTCCCCCCCCCCACCCCTTTCCCTTCTCACTTGTATTTAGATTCGTGCAGAAAAACCTCTATTTTCTTCTAATCCAGAACTGGATAACTTGGTAAGAGCGGACCCCTACTCCCCTCCTTCAACTCCCCTCCCCTCAGCCCCCCAGCTTTGCTTTGAGGGCCCTGAGGTCTCTAGACCCGTCATCCCGCCGCCGCTGCAGGTCTGCTGCAAATGTTTCCGTCCACGGACAAGCGGTCCGGGACATGATCCCCGGGAAATAAATTTTTCTGGAGAGGGGCCGGGCAAGCGGCGCAGAGAAACGCGAGCTTTTGTTTTTCATGACAGCCGGGCAGCGCAGCCCTAATCAGCGCGGGGATTTATCTCCGGGCCTGTCAGCGTGTGTGCTTAAACTTTGCAGACTTCCCAGCCCTCAAAGTCGCCTCAGGAGGGGCACCAACCAGGCAAGAGCCCCCTAACCACCAGTTTGCCTGAAAGGTGTGCCGAAGGCAGCAGAAAGTTTGCAGGGCTAAAAGCCACAATTTGGGGGGGACTATTTTGACTATTTTCCATGCACACCTTCCTAGGAAATATCTAGTCCAAGGATGTGGCCCTTTGGGGGTGGGGAGGAGGCAGGGGGGTCGAGAAAGGGGAGAGAGCCATGGGGGAGGAGAGTGTTTATGATCCCCACTTAGATGCTTTGTTGTTGTTTTAGCTATTTCTTTCTCCTTAAGAAATATAAACCTCTAGATCGTACCCAGTCGCCGCTATTAAGTTTTAGTGTTATTGCCATAAATCAAAATAACTCTATTTACTGGGGGTGGGGGTGGGTTGGAGATGCTAGAGCTGTGACAGCCAATTTTCTGCAAACTAGGAATAGGGTGCTCATTCTTTTTGTGTCTTTGCAGATGATTCAAGCCATACAAGTATTAAGGTTTCATCTGTTGGAATTAGAGAAGGTAATTTCTCTAGCCTCTTTTTCTTTTGCCCCTTCACCCCCAAAGACACAGGATGGGGGAGGGTTCAGAATGGCTGAAGTTCAGGCTTCTGAAACATTTGCATAAATGTCTTTCTTTCTGGTAATTAGTGTCAAGGCCAATCTTTGCATCCATTTCTCTTTGCAGTTTAATTACAATTTCAGCCACTAAAACCGGGATCACAAACGCCCTAGCCTTGTATTCATTCTTAATACCTTGCTGGCTTTGTATAAATAGTTGCAATTCTATGCAACCCCCTTGATGTTAAGAATGCTTTTGTGAGTTGCTTCACAGGTTATACCTTTGTGGCCTCTTCTCTTCCTCTTCTTCTTTTTCTTTGCTACCTCTGGGGAGGGGGGAGTTTTGTTTAGTTTTAGTGAGTTTCTGGAAGACAGTCTGAGAGCAGCCACAGGTCAGACACAGAGGAGAGGCCGAGTGGGGGTTGGGGGGAGCGGACAGAGAGTCTGGAGGAGGTGGAGGGAGAAACACATGAAATGTTTTGCAGAGACAAAGTAGAGTTGATAGTTGTGTCAATTTCTTGAATCTGCAAATCTTGCACACATCCCACCTTCACACTCAAGAAAGGGTGTGGGCTAATACAATTTTGCTAGCTGTTCTATAAATCTCAGCAATAAAAACTTAATGCATTGTAATTCAAACTAACATCAAATCGCAAGCACACTGGGGTTTCTTGTGAATTTTTGCATGTCAGTGATGACTGGGGCCTGTAAGAGACCACTCCACTTGCACCTAAATATTTTGAAGCCATCTTTTTCCATCTTATATTTTAAAAATCAATTTGATACATTTTTGTGACTGTAGGTTTTTTCCCCACGTATTGATTACTGGAAAGTTGATTTCCTTTTATTTTTCAAAGGAAGTATCCTAAAATATGCTTCTTATGGATAGAAACCCTAATTTCAAATATTATAGGGACTGGGGTTGTCAGGCATAGATCGTATGCCACCACAGTACTGGTCCTTTGAATATATATAATATATATATCCAAAATTACATATAGATGCATTTTTCCTTAGACAAATTGGAAAAAGGACCTGTGATCAAGTAACAGGATAAAATTAAATAGTTACCTTCAATGTCACCCACGCAGGTCACCTCTCTAATGGCCACAGTCCTGGAAGCAGATGAATTTAACACGGGTGTTGAATATGTTGTAGCCTGTGAATCATCTTGTCACTGTCAATTTTCTGGGATATCTCTATTTTGCAAGAAAAGAAAGTTATTCCTAATTCTGGATGCGTCTGGGGGTCTCTGGAGGACAATTGCCCTGTGTTTCCCTGTTTGGAAGTTTGGATCTCACAAGGGGGGTGGGGGTGGATTGCACTTGTCAATGTCATTTATACCCTCTTGATTATATTTCCATTTTTTATTCCTGTCATAATGTAGGTACACGAATTATGTGACAATTTCTGCCACCGGTATATTAGCTGTTTGAAAGGGAAAATGCCTATCGATTTGGTGATAGACGATAGAGAAGGGGGATCAAAATCCGACAGTGAAGATATAACAAGATCAGCAAATCTAACTGACCAGGTATGTGCTTTTCAATTTCAACATCCCTGAAAAAAAAAATCTGTATGCATATTGCTTGCTGGGTCACTACCACCTCCTTTTATTATTTGCATATGATTAAGTCCCTTTTAGATACATTTCCATCGAAATGAAAATTTTTGAATAATGTGGCTATTATTGCTTCATTAAGGCTGGCTCTGGGATTCGACTTGGAGAGATGAGCTTGCAAAGGCTTTGCCTGCAAACTTGACCTGTTTCTTGTCGCTTTTAATTTTTGTCTTTATTTTATTTACCCTCTATAATAATGGGAGTGTTAACTGCCAGTGACCGCCTCTGACGGTAGGGCTTTGTTCTGGAGCATTCCCCCAACCCCCCTTCTATCTTGAAGAAAAGAAAAGAGTAGGGTCTGCTTATTTCTTATTTTATTAGGAATAAACCCAAGATAGGTGGTCTAAGAAAGACAGCCAGGGTTTGAAATCTAGCAAATGCTAGCTGTTTTCTCCCTGTCTATACGGTTCATTAGCCTGTCTTGTCAGTTTTCCTCGGCCGAACGCTTCTAGACCTCACTGAACATTGCTTTGTGCAGTGCTCGCTGCAAGCTCGCCCATTTTATTGTACTTCATAGACAAAATAAGACCAGGCCGAGGGCATACAAACAGATAAATATGGACTTTTCTCCTCCACCTTTCCACTCGTCCTCCAGCTGGTACGTGCTCTGGGCCCTCTGGGTTGGCAGCTTTTGGAAGTGTCAGCATCAGGGCACCTTGGCGACTCCCTCGGTGTGGCGGGTGGGGGACCTCCCGCCGCCACCTTGACTCTCAGCTGCCGGCTTTTGCTTGTTTAGCCCCCTTCCCTGGCGTCCTCCTTCAGACCCTTCTTCCGCTGCTTTGCTAAGTGGGGCCACTTTTATTTGGACTTGCTGGGGGTATGTGTGTGTATGTGTGTGTGTGGGGGGCGGATTTCTCTCCCTCTCTCCCTCCAACACCACTGTTTGCTCCCAGTGTCTCGCTCTGTCCAGTCGCTGTGTCTCTGGATTGGTCCAAAGGAGTTGCAAAAAGAGCGTGAAAGTGAAAACGTGAGGAGTGGGTGGGCTAAAACAGGGCTCATGACAGCTCTCCGTTGCGAATGGTTGCGACGCGTCTGGAGATTTGGGTCGCGGGCCTCCTCCGCCTCTCCATATCTGCAAGCGAAGGCCCAGAGTTGTTTCTCTTTCTGACTTGGCACGTGAGTCCCGTCTTGGGGGAGAGATCAGCCTGTCTTTGTTCAGCTCAAGGACCGCCAGGCGGGCAGCCTTCCTGGCGGGCTCTGCCAGGATCCCCGTGGCCCAGTGGCTCCCTGGCGGAGTCCTTGTTCAAGTGCTCTGCTCCTCCGTCTTGGTGTCTGTCATCTCAAAGTTTTCTTCTCTCAAATGTCTACCCCTTCGAATAAACTCCCGGCTTTGATTTCTCTGGGGAACTCAGGACAGAGGCTGAATCCCCCTTTTCCAGAGAGGAGGGGAGGGCAGGCCGAGCTGAGCCTTAAAAGCGCCGACGCGCCGGGCCCTTACTGTTATTTGGCAAGTTGCAAACTTTCGACTGTGTAGACGAGTA